ATCGATTGGGAGAAGAAAAGAAATTTACCATATAACCCAAGCGGGCTACTCCACACATTACCAATTGGTTTTGGGATGGAACCTCACTTGGGCCTGGTGGAGTAGGCTTGGGCCGGTCAATTTGCCCATTATTTTCCCTACAGTGTGGTCAAACAAGTAAGGTTCTTAAATTTTCTGGTACTCCACAAAATTTACAATAGAGAATTATATATATATACACACTAAACATGAATTACAATTACGAGAAAACTTCATTGAGATATTGGGCACGTAGAACTTCACAACATTAGTCACGTTCAATATTAGATAACAATTATTAAAAAACTTCAACTATAATTACTAAAGACTGCTCACAATTTGTCTAAATTAAAAATGCCAAACCCAAAGAAAAAGATTTTAAGACGCTTGAAACTGCCTTTTAAACTACACACACACACACACTCTTTCTGTAAAATTACCAGTCATTTTTTGTTCAATTAATAATACATTTCTTGAAAAAAAATGCATAAAAGATAAAAAGACACAAATAGAAATAAATATAAAAAAAAAAATATCATACGAAGATGAGGACGAAGCTGCTGAGCTAACTATATCCCATTTTCTATAGAATCTTCTAAGGTCCACAGTCGTTGGTCAATTGCCAAAATTTTATGGCATTGTCCAAAAGCTTTTGCTTTTGAAAATTAATAAAGAAGATATTGAATTCGAAGAATAGCGATGTATAATACATATTATTAGACAATATTTTTTGGAATATGCTAGTTATACATTCAAAGTACGGATTAATATTAACATTGTGTGAGGTGTAGAAATTCATGTTACTGATTGTTTTAAGTGTTGTTGAAATCGATGGAAAAATGTGTCACCTCACACACTGTCAAAAAAAACTATCAGAATGACTGTCACTGTAGCTGGACCGTGTCTTAGTATGATTCAGTTGTATTGCAACACATGGAATCCAAATTGATAACCAATTCAATCCCGACCTATCATGCCTATTCAAGGCTTGTACATAGTCCAGCTTGGTTCGATTTTAAAGGAAATATCGAACCAGAATTTTTGGGTATTTAATAAATGGAACCGTCAGATCTAAATATAATTATGGAATATAATCGGTTCGGTTCCATTTGATTCGATTCAATTTCGTAAGTATTCAATCTTAGCTTTTACAATATTATTACATTAACTTTTACAAAATAACGTAATCCAATTTAAAAATATACAAATAACAAGTTGTTTGATAATATTTATTCACCAATATATACAAATGATCTTGATCAAAGTGAA